TAACCAGGCAGCAGCCCCAAATAAATCATTTCATTAGAGTTAATAGCAGAGTCCCTTTGATTGCAAAGTGTTTCCAAATAGAGGGCCCTCTAGTCAGCTTTAATGAACAGATAAGAATCTTTGTAATTAACTTAGTGAGGGCTTGCATGTAAATGGATATTCTTCTGAGTGCCATGAGACAATTTATTTATTGTTGCAAGTATGGGTTAAATATGTTCCTGGGCATCTCTCCCTCCAGCAAGCCAGTATGCAAACAATGCCCCCTGAAGTGGATTTACTTAGCTTGGTGGCACAATCCCTTTCTCTAAGGATCCCAGGCTTGCACCAGAGCCTGACCAGCCTTCCCTTCCTGGAGCCTTCCCCTCCTCCACTAGCAAGGTTCCCTCTGGGCTAGCTGCCACCCCTGTGACCTTCATTTTTCCTCTCAGACCGGGAGACCTGCAAGTGGTAGGCAGGAGAAGCTATGAAACCTCTGACCAGGTAATATGGTTAAGTCTTTCTGGTGGCATTTGCCACCTCTGGTTATTATTGCACTGGGGCTCTGGGGCTCCAACCACTGGTGTGTGTGTGTGTGTGTGTACACATGTACGTGTGTGGGAGTGCTTGTGTGCACATGTGTGTGGGGGGCATGTGCCATTTCTGCATGCCTGTGAGTTTGGCGGGTCTGTGGGTTAATAGGGGTGTCCAGAGTGTGCATGTGTAATGTATGCATTGTGTGTGTGTGCATATTCACACACACATGCATGCACTCTGCTTGCCCAGAGGCCAACCAGAGCCCATTTCCTCAGTTTCTAGGACGCATCTGGCTTTTTGTTGTGTCTGCTCCTGGAGTGGGGTTTTCTGGGATGGAGGGTCACCCTGTGGCTCTGGCATCTCTGGAGACTTCCTCCAGCACCTGCATCTCTGGTGTGTCTTTTTCCCCTCCTCTCCCTTTTCCCCTGTGCCTAGGGGATGTGGTTCCTACCTATTAGGCTCCCCTCTCTTAGGCCCTCCTCTTCCCTTGATAGTAATCCCAGAGGGAACACATCTGGAGCCCAGCCTGGAGACTTTAGAAAGAGGCCCCATATGTGAATGTGTGGGAGTGGTGGGCACAGAGTAGAGGCCCAGGGAACAGTCTCCCAGCCTGCTAGGCAACACAGCTCCCTGCCAGCACTGATGAATTATATCCACCCCTTCAACTTCAGTGGGGTGGGCCCAGCTCTCTGCCTCTAGGAGAGGATGAGCTCCGACAGTCAGGGATGGAGTGCGGTCCCTCCAGCAATAGCAGAAAGGCCAAGGTCTGTGCCATATTCATAGCTGTCCATCTGCCTAAACACTATCCATGATCTATGCCTTAGATGGGGATCCCACAACCTTGTCCCCTTTCTGAGCACATCAAATGCTCAGAAACCTTTCCTCACCCCCCTCCCACCTCCAAACCTCTCCAAGCTCATCCCTCTTCACTTGCCAACCTTACCAGTGGCCTCAGGATAGAGCAGAAAGCATGTAAATTTGGACTTGGCCACCAGGTTACTGTTAAGCTGGAGACCTTGGGCAAATGACGTGCCCTCTCTGGGTGCCTGTCTCTTTTTATGTAAAACTGGAGCCGTGATTGCTATCTCCCAAGACTAGTTAGGAATACAAGTGTAGAGAGAGCAGTGCCGCTTCAGGGAGGTCAGTGGATACTGCCCAGTGGTGAGCATTTCCATGTTTTTACAAGTAGGGAAACCATGGGTTCAGAGTTGATAATGCATTGGCTGAAGATCACACAACAAATATGACAGCAGACCTCAGGAATCCTCTGTCTTAGGAAGTTTCATTCCTTCAAGTGAGTTTCCTTCCTGGTCCATTGAATTTCCCATTGTCTCATTTGACTGCAAGACTTCTCTTCCCCGAGAGGCCTTCTCTTTGAGGAGAATATAGTGCCTAGCACACAATAGGGGCTCAGTCTATATTTGTTGGATAAAAAGCATGGAGGAAATAGGAGTTATCAGTAAATTATAGGCAGTCATGCTGAAATAGGGTGGGTTCCCCCCCCCCCAAAAAAAAAAACGAGCCACTGGGGGGCATCCAGGGCTGGGGTGGGCAGCTGAGACCTGGGGGTGGGAGTGGGCTGGAGGTGATTTCTTGGCTCTGCCATTGCCACCGCCCTGGCTGTCTGGGAAATCTCATTTTGCTAGAGAGCTGATTCATGGGCCTGGCTCCCTGGTGCTCCCTGAGCAGCTCTCTGTCAATAACTATTCTTTACAAGGTCCCTTGATTCGTTTTTGGAGTTGAAGACAAATTCTTAAAGAGGAGTTCAGAGCCAGGGCCATTCCAGAGGGGCTGTTAACTTAATGTCCCACCTCATTCCCGCCAAGCCTGCTCCCTCTTGAACTGCACGGGGGTCATGAGTTGCTGTTTCTAGCAATTGATGCTGAGTTCTCTCATTCAGACAGAGAGTAAGGGATGAAGAGAAAGGAACACAAAGTAAAGGAGGAAGTGGCAGGTGGGACTCTGGGCTTTGTAACTAGGTTTACTGTGTGACTTTCTTCCAGCTGCTGCCCCTCTCTGGGTCCTCATTTCTCCATTTGTGAACATGTGGATGCTGGAGAGCACAATTATGACAGTGTCCACTCTTCCTTGGAATGGCCTGGTCTCCCAAGAGAAAGAGGCCTTGGTGGTCAAGCCAAGGCTCATGTCCCTGACCCCATCTCACCTTCCTGACTAGGCAAATCTTCCATTTCTACCTCTTGAATACACTGTATCTGCCCAGCGCTCTGCTCCCACTGCCCTGGCTCTGCCATCATCCTTGTCACCTTGGGCTGTGGTAGCAGGCTCCTAACTGGCTCCTTGACCCTCTAAGACTTCTTTCCTTCACCCAGTGGGGAGAGAAAAGATTTGAACCTCAAATTTGAGCCTGACTCTCAAACCCAGGTTGAACCCACCCCCCAGACCCTCCATGCCTTTGCATACATTTGCGTGTTTCCCTTATTACCATATTCTAGGCATAGAAGAGCAGGTGCAGACACAGCAGCAAAACGAAAGCCCAATGTGTTGGTGTGCTGAGTACATAGCTTCTGAGCCTCCATACATAATGTTCTCTCTTCCTGGACTGTCCTTGTCCCTGTCCTCAGCAAACTAAGTATGTTTTTCCCCTCCTCCTTTTTGCCCCCACCAACTGGGGTCAAACTCTATTATGGGTAGCATCAATCATCCCAGATGACAGTGGTCAGCTGTATAATTATCCATATTCCCCATGAGGCCGGGACTTCTTAGGGATAGGCCCCCAGTTTTGCCTCCCAAACTCTCCAGCAGAGCCCTGTGCATAGTAGGAGCTTAATGTTGAATGAAATGGATCCATGTTCCAAGTTTAACACCAGTGTATCCCCCTATCCCATATAGACAGCCAAACTGGGATAGTTTTCCTTGACTCACACTAATTTCTCCTCATCTCTCTCTCTTACAAGAACCCCAAGGGGATGACTTGGATAACTTGTGATTTTTCTGCACTGATGTAGGTGCTAACTATAGAAAATCCCCAAATGCATGATATGTGAAAGCCATTTACAGTTTGCATTTGGACTTTAGTTGGCAGATACTTGTTGACCACTTGCCAGTTGTAAATAACATGTTAGGCATAAGGGATTAAAAAAAAAAAAAAAATGACCGAGACCCCACCACCATACCACCTTCTGGGAGCTCATGAGAAAACTCAGTTGCCATCAAGCTGACTCTGATCCATGGCAACAACATGTGTGTCAGAGTAGAACCGTGCTCCACAGGGTTTTTAATGGCTGATTTTTCATAAGTAGATTGCCGGGGCTTTCTTCCAAGGCACCTCTGGGTGGACTTTCAGTTAGCAGCCAAGGGCATTAGTCTTTTGCATCGCTCAAGAAGTACTAGTCAGGGCCTCTTTGAATAGCAAGTGTCTGGTGGTCTGGAAATACAATGAAAGCCCCCAATGGAAGCTCTGGACACAGCTTTCCTGCCACCCTCCTACCTCTGAGGACAAAGCTGCACCAGCCTTTGTTGCCAGACACATCTTGAACAGAGCTGGTCCATCTCTAGCCTGCCTTTCATAAGCACAGGTGACCTGGTAGTAGCAAACTGCATCACTGAGAACCGGATGTGCCAGTGTCTGTGCCTGGTGCTTTGTCTTCTGGCGGGTGCTGTGCAGAACCCTTCACATTTCCCAGGGCTAATGAACAACCCCAGGGCTGCAGTTGACAGTGGAGACCAGGCTTCCTCCTGGGGTGGACAACAGCATGTTCATGTAGGGGCATGCAGTCCCTCTAGGCACGGTGAACCCTGAGGCTGAGTTCCCTTCTAGGTGGCTGTTGCTCGCCATTTACAGGCATAGGAGGCTGGACAGGCAAACTCAGCCAGCCCCTGCGTTCCCTGGACTCCAGTGCTGCCCTGGGTTGCTGCTCACACTGAGCAGCAACCTCTCTGGGCCATGGGAGTCTGCGTATATACACACACATATCAAGTGTGTTGTGAGGGGCTGTGGGCCAGCCCACCTGGGCTCCCTCCTGCCTGGCTCTCTCATGTGGAGACCCTCTAGGGGTTAGGGCAGATGCACCCCTCTTTTTGGCCAGGCTCTCCCCATGAGTCCCAAAGAGAAGAGGAAGGAAGCCTCCCTGAGAGGGGGTGATCAAGAAGGACTCCTGCTGAGAGGACAGTTGAAGGCACAGAAGGGAATCTGGAGTGAGCTTGGGGTGCACACACCCACCCTCTCTCACCTCCTCCTTAGTTTTCCTGAGCCCCCCTCAACCCCAGGAATTTCTCTGGAGCTCCTGAGACTTGTCTCTTTTTCCTTGAGCCAGTCATGATGGACCCCCAGAGGTGGCACATCTTTTTGTAAGGGTAAAAAGGGCCTATAGGGATGCAGACGTTGAGGGAGAAAGAGCAGGACCACAGCCCGTTCAGCCATGTTTCAGTCTCATGTCCTTTAGTGTGCCCATAGTAATGTGTGTGCACATGTACACATATGTGCATGTACACATGTGTGCACAAGGAAAACAGAGCCAACAACCATGTACTGTCTGTTCTCTGGGAGCTGCTGCCCCCACCCCCAAGTCTGGTTGCCTCCATTTATTTAAGAAAAATCCGACACAGTGGTGGGTAGAAACCAAGAGAAAATTGGCTGTGGGATGGGGTGGGGAAGATGCCTGGGCTGTCCTTTGGCCTTTGCCCACCCCAAGGTCCCTCACAGCACCCCATGGTGCCTCTTACCCGCCCCCACCAGATCCTGTTTTGTGGGGGGATGGGTGACTATCTCCCCTGCCCACTGCAGAAGGAAGGAGTGGTCAGCCCAGTGGAGGGTGGCTAAGGCGTGGTGTTGACCTTGACCTTGCGGTGAGGTCAGCAGGAGGCACTCAGGCCTCTCTGGACCTGTCTAGACCTTGGTGCTCGGGGGTGTGGCTAGGCCAAGGATGGACCCAGGACTCCTCTCCTTTAGGACTCTGCCTACAGCCCTTGGGACAGAGAGAGTCCTGAGAACTCAGGAAGGTGTCCAGCTTGGCCTCAGACTTCTCTGCAGAGTCAGCTGCCAGGTGCTGGGAAGGGGCTGGGGCTGGGGGTGGGGGGAGACGAGAAAGTCAGCAGATGCTACAGCTGCCCCCTCACCCCCCCGAAATATTGTCCACAGCAAGATCCTTGTCAGGGCAGGCAGCCACTGCGTCCTCACCCTGCAGGACACAAATCCCTGAATATTGGTTTGAAAAGTCTTTGTGCAGCCTGTGACACAAGACCCCCAGCTCCTCCCAGCACAGGGGGAAGACAGAGGACATGGGGGGCAGGGGCAGGGGCACAGTGTGGGTCCACCTCGCCCCAAGCTCGGCCTCCATGTCTCAATCTGGGGCAGGAGGATTGCCTAGGATGGAGGAGGTTCGGAAAGGGTCAAACAAGGGCTGGGCTTCCTTTCTTCCTTGCAAACCACTGGAGGAAGGCGCCTCCACCTGCAGGGGGCAGAGGAGGGGAATGGTGTGAGGCAGAAGGACAAGACACTAGGCGGCCCCACCCGGCACAGAGCAAAGCTGCAGGGGCAGGGAGTATAAAACCAGGTTCAACTGCTCCGCGCAGGTGTGAGCAAGAGGCCCCGGCTAGGTTCAAACAGAGGAGCCCCCACTTGGAGGTCCCAGCCATCCCGACGGCGCCTCTATGCAATCTCTTTGATTCTGCGCATATAATTGTGCAGGTCCGGGGGCGGGGTGGGCCGCGTGGTGCTCGCTACATCCGGGCAGCCCCAGCGCAAGTCCGCCTCCTCCTCCTCGTCCTCCTCGCCGGCGGGCACCGAGTCATACGCCAGCTCCTCGGAGGGCAGCGTAGTGAAGGTAGTAAACTTGACCCTCTTGCGCTTGGAGGTGGGCGAGCTGGCGGGGTCCTCCGCCTGGTCCCGGGCTGAGCCGCCCGAGGAGCCGTCACCGCGCCCATGCACCTGGCTCTGCACGCTGGTCTGTGAGCTGCCGCTGCTGTGATGGTCGCCGTGGCAGCAGGCAGGTACGGTTTCCAGCGGGTTGCCAGGGGGCGGTGAGAGCTCCCCTTGCACCCGCAGCGGCTGCCCATTGCCCAGGAACACCCAATGGTGCGAGTGGTCCATGCTGGTCTGGCCCTCGGGCGGGATGCGCTTGTGCCTGTAGCGTAGCACGAAGACAATGCAATTGATGAGGAAGACCAGGATAGCCAGGCAGAAGACACCCAGCAGCGCATACATGCCTATCTCCAAGTCTGTTAGCCCTCGTGGCATCTGCAGGAAGCCGGTGGGCAGCGGCAGGAAGTCTTCTGTGGGCGGTATGCCTGAGCTGGCCGTACCCCTGCCCGGGCCTTCTGCAGGGGGAACCCTGGTGCCTGGCGGGCCAGCTCCCCTGGCCTCGTCCTCACCCCCGCCAGGCCCTGGCTGGCTAGGACCTGGGTAGTCATAAGTAGGGTCCTCCTCATCCCTCCCAAAGTGTACCCGCAGGCCCACAGGTGTGGTGGCCAGCACGCTCTTGCGCTTGGTTTTCTGGCAGCTCTCGGCAATGGTGAGTTCCGCGCGGAGGAGCTCCCCGGCACCCTCGGCCTCAGCCACCACCAGCGGGAAGGCCCGGTCCTGGGTCACCGTCGCCACGTGCTCGTCCAGGCTGCTCACCAGCAGCCCGTAGTCCCGGGGGCTGTACAGGGAGAGTGGGGCCGTGGTGCCATCGCTGTAGGAGAGCCAGAGGCTCAGGAGGGCTTCCTAGAGGAGGGGAGGACAGGAATCAGAAGGCTAGTCCTGGCTGGCTTTCTTGCTAGATCCTGAGCTCTGGGAGGGCAGGGACCAAGCCCCTCTGGCTCCCTGCTGTATTCCCAGTGTTGGCATGGTGTCTGTATGTGGCAGGTGCTCAGGGACCATGGTTTAGAGGGCATCATCTGTGCCAGGATGTGGGCAGGCTCAATTGCAGGTTATGGCATCCAGGCCTCCTGCTACCCCCAGAATTTTCTTGCGCACTTCATCCTTCTCACTTTGGTAAGTTGAAGGTAAGTTTTGCCTTGACTTCAACTGAAGTCTCTTCTGCTGACCCGGCAGCCCCCTATCTCCATGCTCAGCCCCCCATTAGACAACTGAGAACTGAGTATACATAGCCACCCCCAGACTCCCCTCTGTCTGCTAAAACCTTCTGGGAATTGCCCACCCTGCAGATAAGGAAGCAGGCTCCAGAGAGCAGTGACTGGCCTAGGGTCACAAAGCAAGTCAGGGCCAGGGGACTCCTGTGTCCTGACTCCTGGCGTGGTGCTTCCACCTGCCACATTTCCACCTTTGACCTGTAGTCAGTGCTGATGGTGTGTCTGTGGAGTCTGCAGTTGGAGCTGCTGATTCTGGTAGGTGGAGGCAGAGAGGGGAGACCCTCAACAGGAACATCTTAGGGTGGTAAGCACAGCAAGCCTGTGACAAGACTCCCTGTGCAGAGGGTATGGGGATAGGGCAGAGGAGGTGGGCAGGGCACAAAGGCTATATAGATCTTCTACTGCCTAAAGCCCTAATTTGGGGGACTTGTGGCAGAGGGGAAACAGAATCTTAAGGCCTTCTTCTACACCCCAAACTTCTCAGCTGGCAGGCTGTGCAGTCATTACCTGTTTAAGGAAGCTGAGGGTCTGCTGGGCAGCCGTGGTAGCCAGGATGGTGTGGCTGCTCCCTGGGCTGGGACGCAGGGAGAGGGCAAGGCTGGCCACCACCTGGGCCTGCAGTTGTGTGATGCTGACTTTCTCCTCTGTCACTGTTAGCAGTGTCTCCCCAAGCACGGCCTCTGTCAATGGGGACACCACCTGAAGAAGAGTAGGGCAGGGGTGAGAGAGAACCGGGAAAGCAGCACCTTCCCGACGCCCAGAGAGGAATCCCAGTACTGCTGGAAGAGAAGCCAAGGGAAGCAGGGCAGCCTGGGAGGCAAGACTCCTAGATCCCATCTGAGATCTGCAACCAGGAACTAGGGACCAGGGGCCTAACAAGGGCCAGGGGCCCACAAGAGCCAGGCAGGAACAGTAAGCAGATCTTAATGAAACAACAGCCCCTGTGGTGATAAATAACAATTGCCATGTAGCTTAAATGCTGGGGAGACAAAAGGGGGTAGTAGAGAGTGTGGCAAATGAGAATTTGTGTCCCAGTCAAGGGGGTACTTGTATTGACTCTAGTTGGTTGTTGCCAGGTGGGACTGTAGGCCCAGTACTACCAGATTGCTTGTTTGTGAGACCAGAAATAAAGATTTTTTTCAAAATAAAGAACCTCCCAGTTTTTTAATGTTGGCTCAGTTCTTTTGAACAAAGCATGCCTGCTGGCAGATTGTGGCCCGTGGATCACTATTCATAATCTCTGAGGTGGGTGATTTCTAGTCCAGTATCCAGTTGTCAGGCAAGAAGGTCAAAGTTGAGTTCTTCAATCCCAGAACTCTTTCTCCTGGCCTGTAGGCTTGCTGACCCCTCTCACCTGTACCCCTTCCTCTATTCATATCTGCTCCCAAGGAGGGGTCTGCTTGAGTCACCCATCCTAAGCCCTGCAAAGTTGTACCAGTTGATAAGGCTTTGAGCCAGAATCCTCATCAGAGCTGAGCAAACCATGCTTGACCTTTGATGGTGGAGTTTCTGAGGGAGAGTCAGATGGGGAGGAAAGTGTGTGTTGAGCAGGGTGGGGGTTGTTCCCAGAGGCTTGGACTCCGGGGATCCTCTCATAGGAACACCTGCATTTTCTGCTCACGGGTAAACCAGGCTCCTGGGCACTGCCCTTTGTGCTGGGGCAGAGCCTGTGCCTACCTTGAAGGGGGTGGTGCCTGGCTCTAGACCTGCCAGTGTGCTGCTGTCCACCATGTGTGCCACTCGGGGGTCGCCCACCCGCATGAATTCGCTGACCAGGTCGGTAACCTCCACCAGCCAGTCTGGGCCCAGCATGGTGACCACCTGGTCTGTGCCCTCAGATGACGTTGTGTGGAACTGGGTGAAGACCTGCAGCGTGGCGTGCTGGTACTGCAGCGTGCAGCCGCGGCTCACACTCTGCCGTCGCTCCTCCTCCTCGTCGTCCTCATCCTCACTCTCCCGGGCCAACCTGGGTGAGGAGGCATGGGGTCAGAGCTGGCCAGGCTGAAAGCTTCTCACCCTGCCTCGAACCTGAACAAGCCATTCCCCTCATCTTGGCCTTGTTGGCTCCTTCCCAGCTCCCCATGGCCTGAAGCTCTGCAGACAGCTAGGATTGTCCCTGGTTCATTCCTCTGTCTCTAATAAGTTTGAAGCCAGGAGTCCCAGTCTTGACTCTCCCTAGTCCCTCTCCTGCCTCTGCAGTGCCTAACCCAAGCCAGGGAATAGCTGGTGTCAAGGACTATTAAGTGCTGTCTCTTCAGCACTAGGTATATGCACACAGGTGCACAGAAGCTATGTAAGTAGCCCAAAGTTACACAGCTAGTAAATAGCAGTTAGGATGAGAACTCAAGTTACCTGGCTTTAGAGGCCACTCTACCATCACTACTCAAGACATTATCAGCATCCCCTGGGAGCTGGCCAGAACTGCAGAATCACAGACTCTGCCCTAGAGCTGAATCCGAATCTGCATTTTAAATGAACATTTTGAGGTGATTTTGTATGCACATTAAAGTTTGAGAGGCTCTGGTCTATCCTACCTTGTTTTTCTAAATCTCTGCTGAATTGATCCGAGCCCAAGTCTCACTTGGCCGCCTGTTTCTCTGACCACCTGCTTCTCTCTCCAGCCCCACCTGCTCCTGTTTTCAGCTGCCTGCTACTTTTCCTCTCTTCTCCTCCCTGCTGGGCTCCTCTCTCCAGCTGCTGTGAGTGGGTGAGTGGCGTGCAGTGCACACATCTACATGCCCCACAGATGGACCACTGGGTCTTGAGCCTGTACTCCAACCAGGAAGCCCTGGCGTGAAATCACTGTGCACCTGGGATTAAGTGCTCACAAGTGTGCCCATGCTGGGGCACAAGTGTGTGGGTCTGTGTTGTTGTGTGTGTCCTGTTTGACTGCTCTCTCTCCTTGTCTTCCCAGACAACTCCTTTCTACTAGTCCTTTAAGATTTAAGGAGCCTCTGGGTGGTACAAATGGTTAACACACTTGTCTACTAGCCAAAAGGTTGGAGATTCTGGCCCACCCTTGGTAGAAAGGCCTGGCAATCTGCTTCCAAAAAATAAGTGATGAAAAACTCTATGGAGCTCAGTTCTAGTCTGACATACATGGGGTTGCTGTGAGTTGTAGTTGATTCAATGGCTACTTTTTTTTTTTTTTTTAAGATTTAGTTCAAGAGGCATCTCTTCCAGGAAGCCTGTCTTGACTTCTTTTAAAGGAAGGAGTGTTATTCTCCTTTGTGTCTCTCGATTCCCTGCACACAGGGCTGCCTGAGTCCCACCATGCTCTGTGACATGTATGTACATGAATGCCTTCCCTGCTGGGCCAAGAGCTTGGCTGGATCAGGCACTGGCCACTCAGTCCACTTCTCAAGCACCCACCAGTGCCCAGCACATAGCAGCAGCTCAATACATTATTTGTTGACTGCATAACTGATCCGCTGACTTTGTATTCCTAGAGCCTCACGCACACATGCAGAGCAGACTGTGCAGGGCTGTGGCCGCCTGTGCATATCCTGTGTCCCCTGAGTGTGGAGGGGTGTACCTCCGGTCGGGGAGGATAGGTACCCTCCAGCCCTTCACTTGGCTGAGGCGGGCATCTGAGAGCTCGATGTGTAGGGGCAGCTTGGGAACCCAGACGGTCATCTCCAGAGATGCGTTGAGGATGTCGTAACGGAAGGTGACCCTGGCGTTCATGGATCCTCGAGACTCCTTTCCACTCACAAACACGTAGTCACAGCTGCTGGACACCTGGTGAAGGGGAGGGACAGTGGCATGTCTTGCTTGAGGATTTTCCTGTGGGCAGTGTAGGGGACTTCAACAAGCAGAGCCAGAGAGAGGTGAAGGTGAGGAGGGAGAAGGCCCCTAGTTCCTCTGGGAGGAGGCACTGGCTTCAGTGTGTCCCTAGTCCCACTCCATTTCACCAAAGCCAATCTCTCCGTGGCCTCTGTTCCCTGGTATGAAGTCAATATGCATTTTTTTTTTTTTTAAACGAGGCTGCTTCTGATCTCCCAGACCACACCATGGAGGGGGCAGTTTCCCCTCTAGGTGTCTGGCAGGTAGAGTCCTCTGCAGTACAGAGGAGCAGGCTGCCCTGAGCAGGCTCGACTGCGCAGGGAGGAGGTGGAGGTCGAGGGATGAGGTGAGGGCCAGGGGTGTGGCTTTTTCGTGGCTCCCTGGCAAGGCTGCCTCAGAACAACAGGCAGCTGGTTAATTACAGGTGAAGGGCAGGAGAGAGGAAAAACCAGGGCCAGGTAATCCCAAGCACAGACATTTGGATGGCTGCCACCCACATGGATACCAGCTTGCCTTCCTGCAGATCCCCTGGATGGGCACATGCCTCGGAACACAGCTTGGTGGACATCTGTGCCCACTCACGAGTGCCAGTACATGAGGGGAAATGGAGGTGGGTGTACTTGTCAGGTGCGCCTACGCACACACCTGGCACACCCTGGAGTGAATTGTGTGGCTTGTGAAAGGTGCTCCTGCTGTCACACCCATGTGCACACAAGTGAGGACTTCGTGTTTGCCGGAGGGTCTCTCATGCAGCCCAAGGTTCTGGGGAGTGAGGAGGGTGCTGCGACACCAGCTCATCCACAGAGATGAGCCCCTGGCCTGCCCCAAACCCCTGCTAGGTCCCTTAATCATCTTGAGGGGTAGGCAGAGGAAGTGGGGACAATATCTCTGCCAGTAATGCTCATTTCCTGCTTCAGAAGGCAGAGAATTCCATCTGAAGGCTGGCACATTCCATTTAGAATGTTGGCAAACCCCATACAACACCAGAGTATATATTTCACTGAGAATGGCAACAATTCCATTTAGAATCTCCACTGATTCCCTTTGGTAGCTGAGCCATCATGTCTGTTCTAGCCTGCTCTGGGGCTGGTGTCGGGAGGGGTGTGGGGGTGGGAGAAGAAGGAACCACTGCAGGCCTCTGGGGGCAGCCCCATTTTTCCATTTCCCGTAGGGAGCCGGAGGATGCCTCAGGATTGCAGCCTGGCTCCTGCTCTGAAGGAGGTGATGGGCTGTGTACAGAGCCATCCTTGGGCTCACTTGGAGAACACTTCCTGGGTCAGGGATGAGTGAGGTGACCCTATGTTCCCCAGGGGGGTCCAGAGGCTGAGCGTGGAGAGAACGAACAAACAAGGGGGCCCAATGAGCAGCAGGAGGAAGGACAGGCACACCACCTCCTCCTGCTCTCTTGCAGCTGAATACAGAACAGGAAACAGATTCCTTTGTCCTATCCTTTGGTTTTGGGGCCTGCTGGAGGCTGACAAGGCAAATGGCTTGCCCACCCTACAGACACCAGGCCTGAACACCCTCATGCTACTGCTCATTTCCCTGCCCATTGTCTCCATCTCACCTCTGACCACTGTCCAAGGCCCAAGGAAGGGGCAACTCTGGAGGCTTCCTGGGGAGAATGAACGTGGAGGACCCACAGCAGGTCCCTAGGGAGAAGCTCAAAGGGGGATGATGGCTGGGAGGAGCTTCAGCACTCAGAGGTGTTGGGGTACATCCACTCTTTTTTCTTTCCTTTTAAAAATTTTATTGTACTTAGGGTGTAACTTTACAGAGCAAATGTGTTTTACATTTAATAGTTCGTGCAGGGTGTATCCACTCTTGGCCTAGCCCACATGAGGCTTCCTCCCTAAGTCTGACCTCCCCCTTTGGGTCACTAGCCCCTTGGGTACAGAGCTTGTCACTGAGGGGCCCTCAGCTGTCCCTTGTTGCCTTGTTCAGAGTCTCACATAGTAGGCACTCAATAATCACTTGCTGGATTGAGTTCTAGAGTCTCTGGGTGTGCAAACTGCTAATGTGCTCATTGCTAACTGAAAGGCTGGTGGTTCCCAAAGGTACCTCAGAAGAAAGGCCTGGCAATCTTCTGAAAAATCAGCCATTGAAAATACATAGAGCACAGTTCTACTCTTACACATATAGGGTTGCTATCAGTTGGAGTTGACTTGATGGCAGCTGGTAACTGGTGGATGGAGTTCAAATTGTCCACAATGCCTTCTTCCCTCTGGTCTGCCAAACAGTTTCTTCCATATTCCTATAAGAAGCCCTCCAGGACTGGCAGGAGCATTACTCAGGGCCTTCTCTCACCCCACTCAGGATGGACATGGGATGCCCACAGCTTTTCTCTCCCCTCTCGTCCCATCTCATCTCCTTTTGCCTACCAAGGGAGTCTGCCTGGAATGTGAATTCCCTTCTGATCTGGGGTCCCACTCCCCCTGGAGGTCTGAGTCTTTCCTCCCCAGGGGTGCCACCTCCAGGAAGCTCACCTTGATGATGTCCTCATTGTCAGACTCGCATTCCACTAGGGCAGAGACGTCCAGGACGAGGCCAGTCACCTCGATGGCAATGACCTTGACGGGAATGGCCACCGTGCGGCCCGTCAGTATGGCTGTGTTGATGATCTCTGTGTCCTGCAGGAAGGAGGGAGGGTGGGGCTCTGCTAAGCCAGGAGCTCAGTCCTCTGTTGTCCTGGAGCATTGCCGGCCAAGGCCATGGCTCCAGGCTTCCCTCCTCATCAGGTACACATGCCCATTCAGCCTCACACTCATGCTCTGATGGTCTGCTCACCTGAACTCCTGAGCAGCTGTCAGGATCCACTCGCCACTCTGCTGCCAGAAGGTAATCCTTTCCCAGCCCCTACCTTCTCTCAGAAATCTGCCATGCTCCTCAGGACTCACATAGTAACATCCAGCGTGTTCGCCTGGCCATTCAAGGTGCCTCAGGCTTGTCTCCTGTTCCTCTGGCCATCCTTGGTGTGCCTGGGTTGGCCCAGGCAATACTTCCAGCCTTACCACACCATTTCACTCTCTTTCTAAATCCATTGCTTCTTTGAACAAACAGCTCACATTCCCATACTACATACACCTCTGCCCATGTGATCCCTCTGCCCAGGGCACCCTCCTCATCCTCTGATGGTGCAAGCTCTTCTCCCCACTTGCCCTTCAGGGCTCAACTGCACAGTCATGTTCTCCAAGAACCTTCCCTGATCAGTCCCTTATGGTCACTTCTTCCACCTCTGCACCTCTCAACATCTGTCGTCCTTCACCCATCTGGCATCAAGTGCCACCTGTCTCTATGAGGGCATGCCTAGTACAGGGGGCACTTGGGCTACTGTTTTCATGCAGACATACATTGGTCTCCACACACACATATGCTTGCACACACATGCACAGACATATCTGCCCACTGGGCCGGTGCCCCACCCACTCACCATGGCCAGGGGCAGGATGGCTTGCACATCCCTCTGGATGACTGTCAGCTCAGTGACGGCCCGCTCCAGATCAGGCAGGGCGCCATGGCCACGGTAGTCAATGTGCCACATGATCCTCCTCTTGACTGACTGGCTGGTGAAGTTCTCCATCTCAAAGTCTAGCTGCAGGATCTCCAGGGGCCCCTGGCCCTCCCTGCCAGGGGTGGGGAAAGGAGAGCCCAGGATGAAGGGCTGGGAGCAACCCAGGAGCTCCCAATCCCCTAGCAGGGACCCCACTCCATCCCTGAGGCTTTCTCCAGGCCACACAAAGTACCTCCTTCTCAGAATCCCTTCTAGAGGCCTGGACTCCTGAGTCCCCATCAGCTAAGTCCCAGCCCTTCTGCAAGCCCCAGCTTTCTCCAGCAAGAACCCCACCCTCCCAGGTGCCTTCCCTGCAAAGATGTGAGCAGAGGCACCATTCCAGGCTCACCTGGGGGGTGGGGGTGTGCCTTGGGCCCAGGCCACATCCACAGTGGCTGTGGAGTGCTTTGCCCCAGTCAGCAGCTCTGAGGTCACGTGCCACTGGCCACTCCTTGACTTGGTTCCTAGAAGGGTCACACCCTTCTTGGCCTTCACCCTGGAGACAAAGGGGGCAGAAGAAGAGGTAGAGGTCAGGGTAGAGCCTGCCTGGTCACCACCCCTAGGCTGGGGTTGGTTGTAGGGGAAGCAAATGAACAAAGGGGCCAAGTGAATGAAGGGGCCATGAGTTCTAGACTCAGTGTTTGAGTCTAACCTGGGGAATCTGGTATCATGTAGCTGATGCCTCTGACCCCCACTGGAAATGGTAATCACTTCCACCACATCTCTGACGAGTCTCAGACTAACTTCTACTTGTGTTAGTTCCACCTTAGTGACAGGCAACTCGCTGCTTCTGCACAATGAGGCTTTCTTTCCTGTTAACTTAGCTGGAATATAACAGCCATAGGTCTTCTGGGACGAGAGAGAACTAACTCACGAAACTCCATTTTAACTGCGACAGCTCTTCAGGTCACTAGAGAGGTGAGCAGGAGCCCTAGGAGACTTCTCTCCTCCAGGCCCAAAATCTCCAGCTCCTCCAATTGTTGCTTTGCGATGGTTTCAAGTCACCTTATATCCTGGTTGGCCTCCTCTGGGTGCTTTGAACACATTATGTGTAGTGGACTGCACTAAATACAACACTTGAGCTGTGCTCTACTTAACACTGACTAAAGCAGGGTGATGAAGGAGCCCTGGGGCCACAGCGGTTAAGCACTCCACTGCTAACCTAAAGGTTGGCAGTTTGAACCCACTAGTCACCCCGTGGGAGAAAGATATGGCAGTCAGTCTACTTCCATAAAGATGGTGTTTGGAAACCCTATGGAGCAGTTCTACTCTGTCCCATAGGGTCGCTTTGAGTCAGAATTGATGGCAATGGTTTTTTTTTTTTTTTTAAAGCAGAGTGCATTCATCACCTCAATTCTATATGCTGCACTCCAATTAATGCAGCCCAAGATCTCTGATGACTGATTTAACTCATTCACATTCAAGTATTAATAACAGAATTAGATGTGACCCTTTCCAGGAATATTTGGACTTCAAGAGGGGATAATACTTACACAAGGAAGTTGGAGGATAAAGGCAGTATTACTGGTCCCGTGCATAGTGCTCTGGGGCGAGGCATTTTGGTGGGGCCTTTTCTATGTCCTCAGAATCACCCAACATAGCTCAGACCGTGGCTTCCTACTATGAAGCCATTACTGTTTTTGGCGATGGGGTATGAGTGAAGGTATTTCTGAATTCAATAACTATATCCTGCCCAGAGTATACAAAGGAAAATTGAAAATTCTTCTCCCAGCTCCAGGAATTGGGGCAAATATACCAAACACATACACATATTCCTGCTTATCCTTTAGCTCCCAGCCAAGGGGCTGCTCTCCAAGCTCCATTTCTCCCCTGTTGCCTCAGTCTCCTCAACTGTAAAATGGGAGCTTTGCATCAGCTGATGTCTCAGGGCTCTTCCCAGCCCCAGTTCTATCATCTTAGCTATTCAAGCTTGTGAAAACTGACATGCCCCCCTTTAACATATGGCAGGTGCCAAATGTGCCACGTATGAAGGCAGGGGCAGGAATTTTTGGTCCCATTACACAGATAAGAAGGCTGAGCACTGAGGTTCAATAAGCGAAATGCTTTCCTGAGGCTGCTCAAGTGCTAAATGGGGGAGCTGGGCTGAGGATGCTGGAGGGCGGGTCTGCGAGGCTCCCTACAAGGGGTCGGCATGCCTTTGAGTTTGACCCTCCCTACCTGAGCGTGAAATGCTCCACGCTGGGGCTGGCGGGAGAGGAGGAGTTGGGGGCCAGGTAGAGAAGGATGCTGAGCACTTCCCCAGGCTTGAGGGGCCGGTCGGGCAGGCGGATCATCAGGTTGCTGTCCAGCCGGTGCTCCTGCAGGGCCCTCCCGGGGGGCGGGCGGAACAGGCTGATACTCCCGATGCGCAGAAGGGGGTGCTGGGTGGGGCTCTCAGCCCGGGCCCCCGCCCCAGGTCCGGCTCCCCGGCGCGCACCCCCGCAGCCCCCGGACGCGTCGGGGGCGTGGAGGGTGTAGTAGAGTTCGGCCTGCTGGCTCTCCCCTGCCGCCTCTGGCTCCAGCCCGTCTGGAGACTTGCGGCGGGCAGTGGGGGGCGAGGCTGGGGCCGGGGGCCCGAACCAGGCCAGGGGCAGCTCAGCCCGCACCAGACAGGTGGCCAGCCCCCCGCTGAGGCGACAGGAGCTCTTGACTTCCCGGGCGTCCCGGAAGGCGTGCAGACGGACGCAGGGCAGCCGTTCTGTGATGCCGAAGTCATCCCAGTCCCGGCCGGCCACGTAGAACAGCACCTGGGCCACGGGCTGCGAGGAGGGCACGCGGGCGCGGACGATGAACGCCCGCACCTTCCAGTTGACCGTCAGACGCTCGGGGATGTCCAGGGTGCTGGATGGCTGCAGGAGCTCCCGCGCCACCACCTGGCTGGTGCTGAAGGGCCCCAGGGAGACGTTGAGGACCGGCAGCTCCTTGGTCTGGAACACCACGAATGGCTCGGAGCGCTGCAGGGAGCCGTTGGCAACCGTGGGTGGTGGGGGCCTCGCCTCCCGCAGGAAGAAGGCCAGCCGTGTGTGTGACAGGCGGTAGCTGACTGGCAGTACTGGGCTGGCCTGCGGCCCTGGCGGGCTGGGGCTGGCCGGGTGGGAGCGGCTGGAGGCTGAGGACAGAGCAGAGAGGCCCAGAGCGGTCAGAAGAGGCACCGGTGCAGAGGCCACAGTGTACCAGCCTCAGCCCCTCCCATCCTCAGCAAGGACGGTCCCCCTGGCCAAGCCAGGTCAAGGTGCCGGCTCTGTGTTCCTGCATGGGCCCCGGAGTCAGGCCTCCTGGGCTGTGAGCCTGGCCCCCCTGTTTGCTAGGGTGTTAACTACCCTGCTGTTTCCTTCCTTTTTCTCTGAAATTGGAGTAAAGCTAACATGATTGCAAGGCATTTTGAGGCTTTCACAAGGTGCTATTCCCTGGGGTCTTCATCTAGAAAAGGAGTATGAAAATCCTCACTACCTCAAAGTGCCATTGTGAGGACGTCACAGAATTATGCACAGACTGCTGACAGCAGAATGTGACCCCACGGAAGTGCAGGGGCTCACTACAACCCGGTGTGCCATGCCCTGTGCCCTGCGCTGGGCACCAAGTGTATTTAATCTTCAGAGCAATCCTTTGAGGGCTGAGCACGATCTCCATCTATTTAACCCATAGTCTGCCCATAACTTCTATTTGTAAGTGCGCATTCCTACCTCAAATACTTTTCTATGTCTCCAGAATCACCCAACATAGCTCAAACCTTGGCTTCCTACTATGAAGTTTTGTAGGGATAGGTAAGAGTGAAGGTGTTTCTGAATTCATGAACAATATCCCACTCTGTATAGAAAGGAAAATTGAAAATCTTTCTCTCAACAACAAGATTTGGGGCAGATATACCAAACACATGCACATTTCTGCTTGTCCTTTGGCTCTCATCCAAGGGGCTGCTCTCTGAGCTCTGTTTCTCCTCTGCGGCCTCAGTCTCCTGGGCTGTAAAATGGGAGCTTTGCATTGGTTGATGTCTCAGGAACCTTCCCAGCCCCAGTTCTATCATTGTAGATATCCAAGCTTGTGAAAACTGACATGTCCTCCCTTACCATGATGCCCCATCTACAGGATATGAACACAGGGGTAGGAATCCCAGGACATACTCCAATCTGGGACCTCTGACAGATTGGAGCTCTTTATTCCTGTGCCATTTGCCTCTGGATGGTGCAAGGCCCCAGGGAACAGGGAGCTCTCTTATTAGTTTCCCAAATCCAAAAGTGGACCTCCTGTTTCATCGTTCCGTCCTCTCAGCTGCCTGTCCCCACCCATGCCGGAAGCTGCCATTTCTACCAGTTCCACCTCTTGACTCTCCAGTTTGCCCTCGGTTGTCCCCTCTCCTCCATCCCGAGGCCCGTGCCTCAGATCTGCCCTCACTCCTGCTGTGATGGCAATGTAATGCCTCCTAACTGGGTTCCCCCTTCTCCACCTCACCCCCTTTGCTTGTATCCCCTTCCCCAACACAGCAGTCATTCTTTGAGACACTCACACTTCAAAACTAGTTGGAAAGTTTCAAGGAATGGGAAGAATCCAAGACGTGGGACTGAGCTCTGAGATCCAATTCCAGATCTTCCCACAGGCTCCTTGAGTCACGCTCCTCACCTTTAATATCAGGGTAATACTAATAGTGTTGCCCCAGGATGCTTTATTACTGGGACAAAGCAACAGTTGATAAATTGTGCAAACAACCCAATGCAAATGTGTGTAAGAATCTCTCCCTCTGCTTACAGAATCAAATCCACGCTCACCCTGGGCCTAAGCGTGGCATTCGAGGCCTCTGCAATGTGGTTCCAGGTTCTCCTCTCCTCAGGACTCCTCTGCCCCAGTCCCAGCCCCAGTGGAACTGGACTGTTTGCTGTACTAGCACCCGCTGAGGCAGCTCCTTTGCTCATGCAGTGCCCTCTGCATCAAATGACCTTCTTGCCCATCTCCACAGCACCAATTTGCATCTTTCTTCAAGGCCCAGCCTGAATGCCACTTCCTCCATGAAGCTCTCCAAGATGATGGGACCTCAGCTTCTCAGAATTTCTGAAGGGCTTTGCCTTCCTTTGACAGGATGGCCTGGTTCTGCCTTGTGTGGGAGTTAGGTATCGACAGGGCCTTGCATGTAGCAAATGTGATCAATACCACTGAGAGCTGGGCCTGCAGGAGGAGACTCCTGGTCTACACTAGGATGGCTACTTGCAGTTGTTGGTCAATGGTTAAGCGCTCGGTTGCTAACTGAAAGGCTGGAGGTTTGAACCCACCGGCCAGGCTGTAGGAGGAAAGACGTGGTGATCTGCTCCCGTAAACATTACAGGCTAGGAAACCCTATGGGGCAGTTCTACTCTGTCCTGCAGGGTAGGTACAAGTTGTAATTGACTCATGGCACACAACAACAACATTAAACCTAAACAATGTCAAACATTCACATCCTACTCCTTCTAAATGCAATGAAAATTCCTACTCTTGAGGCTCCAGAGTCTTTATATATATATATATATATATATATATATATATATATATATATATGTGTGTGTGTGTGTGTGTGTATAAGTTGTTGTTGTTGTTAGGTACCATCGAGTTGGACCCGACTCATAGCGACCTCTCCTTGGGTTTCTGAGGCAGTATCCCTGCGGAAGTAGATTGCCCAACCTTCCTTCTGTGGAGTGGCTGGTGGGTTTGAATCGCCAGCCTTCTGGTTAGCAGTCAAGTGCCTTAGGCATTATGCCACCAGAGCTCCCATACATGTGTGTGTGTGTGTGTGTGTGTGTGTGTGTGTATATATATATATATATATATATATAAAATTTGTGGTTTAATTTCCTCATTGAAAAATGAAGAAACTGGCAAGGGGCATGACAAAGGGCCTGTGCCCAGCTGTTCTGAGAGGGGTGGCACTTAATATCATTGCTCCTCCTTCAGGGTCCTCCTGAGTAGCTCTTAGGACCAGCTAAGGAAACCACTAGGCCTCAGTCCCTCAGAGTCCCTTTGCTATAACCACCAGTATGTCCAGCCTCTAGCAGCTAGCTGCCTGCCTGTCATTCCTGGGAGAACTCAGTTCCCAGTCCACCCTTCCCCACTAGATACTCTGAGTCTCACAAGAAATGTCAGTTAGAGATGATGGGGTTGAGGTGGGCAGCAGAGTCGAAGGCAAGATAGGGAAGAAGTTTGTAGAGATGGAGAGAGCCTTCCCAGCTGGTTCCTGGAGTTGCTACCCCACAGTGACCCAGGAGTCTCTGAGAATGTGTTCCTGCTGCCTGGGGAGATACTGGCCCCTAGGCATGCATGTGGAAGTCCAGGGTAGTGGCCTGAGCCTTGGGACACAGCAGCTACCAATTGCTTTGGAAGAAGTAGCAGAAAGCAGGCATATATGGACAAAGGTTTTCTTTTTTTTTTGGGGGGGGGGGGTTATTGAAGTTTAAGGTTCTCTCTCTGCCCTAGACTCATTGGGCAAATTGCTTCCCATCTGTGGGCCTTGATCCACCTGTAAAGTTGAGGTAGTGACATGAGTCCCACCCACCTCACAAGGATGCTGAGAGCATCTAAAAGACCAAGGGGTAGATATGTCCTGTAAACTGCAGAGTGTTCCAGTGGGATACTGCTGTGTGGGGTGTGGATGTCCAGGGCTTGTGAATCCTGGGGTGGAGAGGGGGAGGGGCCACCATCCTGTCTCTCTGGGGTTGGAGAATGGCAGCTGTGGTCAGTGAGCTGTAAGTGTTCAATATCCAGGCCCAAGATGGACAGGTGGGGGGATGTGGAAGGTCAGAACCACTGACCCTGCCCTCGCTTATTCGTCCCCAGGGGACCCCAGAGGCTGATAAGTGGCACTTACTTCCTTTTGCCTCCTTGAACCATCCCAACTTCATGCTGACCATCTGGACCCCTTCGAGGCACAGTGGGCAGCGGCTACCAAATGGGCCCTGGACTCGGAGGCAGGGCATGAGGAAGGGATTAGAGAAACATGTTTGTATCCACCCTCCACCCTGGGGTGGGGAGCTGGTCTGGCAAAACCAAGATGCTGGATCATTGAGCCATCTTTGCTGTTCCTTGACTATACCAAGAAAATAAAGTTCCTGCCACGGGGCCTTTGCATTTGCTGTCTTCTCTGCTTGGAACTTTCTTCCCTTGACATTCAGGTGGTTCTCTGTGTATGTGTCTCTCTTTCCAGTCTTTGCTAAGAGATGTCCACTACAATCATCTTACTTAGAATAACATGTTTTCACCACCTGCCCTGATCTCTCTGCATCCCCTTTCCTGTTTTATATTCTTCATAGCATACATCATCACCTAACTTTATGTTCTAGGAATGTGTGTGTTGTTCCTGCCAGTGAGAGCTTAAGCTCTGTGGGGCAGTGACATCACTTTGCTCTCTGCTATATTCTCAGTGCTGAGAACATGGCCTGGTACATAGTAGACCCTCAGTAAACTTTTGTTGAATTAATGAAATGACCTGAACAAGCTACCCAACACTGATGGGGTGCTGTGGGGGTAATGAGTTCCTCATCAATGAGGCACCCAAGAGGAGACTGGATAGCCATTACTGGAGGCGGTGGGAGTGGCATCCAGGCACTGGGCTAGGGGCAATTGACCCTTTTCAGCAACACTGCAGATAAGAAAACAGAGTTTCTGAAAGGGGAAGTAACTTGTCTTAAGAAAATAGCTAGCATTCAGAAAACTAAAACCAAACCAAACTCACTGCCATGGAGTCAATTCCAATTCACAGTGACATTATAGCATCCAGAAAGGAAGGGCAGAAAAGATGGTAAGAAAGTACAATTTCTGGATTTATGTTGTATGACATGCAGCACCCCTGCCCACCATCCCGAATCACTCTACCCTTCTGGGACCTTGATATGGTTCAGGGTGGGGTCCCTCAGAAAACAGCACTAGTCTCTGCCCTCCCATTCATTCTGGGTACTACAGGAAGTTGCTTGGCTTCTCTGGGCCTCAGTTTCCCCAGGGAAATGGGGGAAGCCCTGGACACAGTCTGTTGTGGCTGGACAGAGGGGAAAGGAGGCTGGTGGCAATGGCAAACTGGTCAACTTTTCAGAGACACTTTGTGTGAGAATGCATCTGTGTGTGTGTTAGATGTGTATGTGCACATGTGTGTGT